GGCACCATTTCCTGTCATTGGCCATTTTAAGTTAGCAGACAACCGCTGATATAGGGGCTGCCTCGAACGAAAAATCTCAGGCCATAGTTGTATACAACTTCACTCTAAGCCAAAACGGAGCAACAGGGGTATAGGGGTTGCTCCTTTCAGGGAGCAATTGCAATGCCACTCCCATTACTCTCCTAAAAGGAGTAACTGCAGAGGGAGGAACCGTTGCTCTCCTTTCAGTTCCTCCTTCGGGGGATGAACAGTTACTCCCTCCAGTTCCTCCCTGCAGACCAACAGTTACTCCCACCAGTTGCTCCCTGCCGACCAACCATTACTCCCACCAGTTGCTCTTCTAAGAGCAACAGTTACTCTTTACCGTTCCTCCCACGTGTTCGCAGTTACTCTCTGAAAACCAACTGCACATGCTTCCAGTTACTCCTTGGGGAAATGAGTATTTATCTCGAGTATGCTTGTCACACGCTTAACACATGGCGAGAGCTGCTTGGAAGAGCACTGCTTGGGTGCTTCTAACACAAAAAGTGGACAATATTGAAAGGAAAATAAATGCTTTATTGTTCTTTTTATGAGGCGACGTTTGACCACACGTAAAAGTAGGCTTCGCCACACCACAGCCAGCACTAAACAAACACCATAATACATCAAAGGTTTTCTGCGTCATCCGTGGAAAAACAATCTTGAATTTCTAGCATAGGGCAGTCTGTGTCATCATTGGTGAGAGAGGGGCAACTTCTCCAATTCTGAAGAACTCAAGTTTCGCAGCTGGTGTTTCCATCAGGCTAGCGCAGCAGAACGTCACTGCAGCCATATGTGAAGCATCTCATTGCTGCAAGAAAAAAATAGAAGTGTGAGGTTAAAAATGCCAGAATCAAATCATAACAATGAGTCACACACACTGCAGCAGCGCTTACATTCTAGGATGTCTACTGCAAAACGAAATGTGAAAAAAGGAAGGTTCGGCCAAACGTTACTTGGCAAGCCATATAAATGCTGATGTGGTAGACGCTCTTCACATGATGTCTCAGACAGCAATATTCTGGAAGAAAATGTGCAGCACCTCAACAAGGCATATTTGTAGTAGTAGCTAAAGATACCCTTAGGTTCAGTTAACTTGTTTCCTATACACAGCTGAGTGACATTTCTATGAGCCCATTCACCAATGGGCATTCTAAATGAGGTCATGTGTGTGGCAAATAACACGTACTGTCCGCTCATGTTAAAATACTTATTTAGCTCGTGCACATAGTTGCTCTCGATTCTACTGTTCTATCATACGCTGCTGCGTCTTGAATTGTGCAATACCTGTAGGCACAAGCCAAGCATGCAAAGCCTGCTTGAAAGCAACCATTTGCAGAGGCTACATGATAATCTTCAGTATATTTCTTTGTACCTGACGCAAACGGCTGGACAAAACTATAGACAAATAAATGTAGACCGTGCTACCTTCAAAAAATGCTTTAATTTTAGAAAACTAGGGTCCATTTGTTCACTCGGTTGACGAGTCACAGCCACGAGATATGTAAACGAAGCAATATATCTTAAGGCACGCACAGATATTCTGATTCTTTGTTTAACAGTGTCACAGATAGCTTGCCAATACATATATATTTCAGAGCAACAAGATGTGAAGCTTTTATTAGTTCGTCTTGTTGGTTCACAGCCAAACAGGTTACTGCTTGTTAGACAAATTGGAATAAGCACACCATGGTTTCCAAAAAAAAAAGCATTATTAGAAGTTAGCTCCCGGTGTGAATGTCTGCCTATTTATTTTGTACTGCCTTCTACATGTGCCACAAAGACATTTGTTGAGGATGTGCTACCAGTCAAGCCAAGATCGCATACTTGGTCAATGTGATGGAAATACAAACATTAGAAACACTGCCACCTCTAGTAAGAGCATAACACTTCAGTATCTTGGACTAGCAAAGAGGTGCACAAGAAAGTTAAGCCCACTCTTGCGGAACTTTGAACGCGAATATTTCAGAGTGGGGGAGGTCAACATGCTGTGGCACTTTTAAACCCACGAAACATCTGCAGAAAACAGGGTAAAGGCAAGTCAAGAAACACTGTTATGAAGGCCTGCGCATGGACAGCTCTGTGAATCTAGGCCCAAGTGTTATGCTTTGTGCAAGCCAAAACCCATGTAAATAGGGAAAGCATACTTTTAGGAGTACCAGCGTAAAGAAATCTTGGCAGTTGGCTTTTTAGTACAAACAGCAATCCCTGCAATGAAAACATAAACATTTTATCTTAACGGTAACAGTGTGAGCACACACACGGGCCAGCGGAGCCATGTCGAATTGTCAGTGCCAGTGTAACCATGTGGCATAATGAACTATTCTCTGGCCAACACATGCACAGTTTGCCCCTAAAAAGCGATGCTTTCATATACATAGTACAAAAAGTCTGCACTTACCAAAATTCACTTGCTTTCTGTACTTTAGCATCGTTGGGAGCATCTTTATCTGCAGTATAACCAAATTTGTGTCATATCCCTGAAAAAAAAGTAAAAGACATGCATCAAATATTGTTTAATTTGGTAGCAGTGAAGTCAGGTTAAGAACAGCCAAGTGGGAATCAGCCTAATTATGTGCATGCGGCAAATCCCAAACGGCGTTATTGAGGTTGTCGAAATTTTCGTCGATTGGTATTAACGTCGATATGTGACTTCAACGGCATGCCAAGTTTTCACAGCGCATAAAGATTTCATGATGCAGAATAATGACAGCGCTAACGAGAACATACAGCATTTATGATTGTCTTTTACAATATTCAGTTTTGCTAAGGTTTTGCATCACTAAAGAAATCTGAAAGATTTGGGTCATTCCTCCTCCAATTGTTCTGTCAATATGTAAACTGCTCGCTTGATGGTGCGCTTATAGAATAGTACGTTTAGCGCAGAGGTGAAGCAAGTGACGCAGTGATGTGGGCAGATTTTTTTTTTTTTTAGGCGTGCGGGGAGGGGGGGGGGGGGGGGGTCCGCTTATCTGAATAGGCCGGGCAAGCGAATATGGTCGTCAATTTGGGCTCCCTACGCCCGGCCTAAAAAAATTCTGTGCGCAAGCGCCTGGCTATGCCAGTGAAGTGATGCGACAATGATTTGTTCACTTACTGATTTACATACACTTTACATCTCTAAAAATGCGGCCCAAGGCCCCAACACTCAGCCGTTAACAGTACGTAAAGCTAATGGTAGGAAAGTGCCAGTATGAATGCAGCTACAACTCCGCCCCAATGTTTTTTCAAGCGAGGTAGTGTTGCGGAAATGAACTTTTAACTGCAAAAGTACACTGGCACTGCAGTGGTGACAGGGGAAGCAAGAGGGTATGCAGGCGGTAATAGAGGTAATTTAGTCCGATACGGCTAGCAATGGATACGGTGAATAAGAGCAAATCATTTCTCTTTCAATAGCGCAACCACTCAACAATGTATTGTAAGAGCATTAAATGTTGCTGGAAATTCCACTCACCTGCACGCTGATGCATGCACAGTTTTTTGTCCGACGAGCGAACAGGCTTGCAGATAGCTGAAGACGTGTTTACGATGTGTTTGTTCCACCCAGCAGCAAAATCCACAACTACTTCGCGCTCCATAAAGATAAATATACACTAACCTTCATCACGAATAAGTAGAAACGCAAATTTGCGACACACACACACGATCAAAACGAGCGAACAGGCTTGCAGATAGCTGAAGACGTGTTTACGATGTGTTTGTTCCACCCAGCAGCAAAATCCACAACAACTTCGCGCTCCATAAAGATAAATATACACTAACCTTCATCACGAATAAGTAGAAACGTAAATCTGCGACACACACACACGATCAAAACATAGCTCACAAGCCCGCACGTCCATGTGCTCGCCAACCACAGACCATATGAAATGAGTAAGTAGTGCGAACGCGAACCTAGTTGCGCCGAAAAAAAAAAAAAAACGTCGAGCAGTGGCAGCACAGGCGTCAGCGCAATAATTTCAGTGTGTTCTCCTAATACAATTATAAAAAAACTGAGGTACACTAAAACTCATAAATAGATATAAAAAGTTGAGTGTAATTTTTATTTAGAGCTAGTCAGCATAAACACTGAATAAAAATTACTTTGTAACTTACATCGCTTGCTACACTAGCGCCACACTTGTCGTGCGGGCGCAGATGGCGCAGATTTGTCATTCTGCCCTCAAACTACACGGTGAAGCGTGCTACTAAGTGTATGGCTGATAAGAAGCGCGTCTGGGTCCGCTTTTTTTTTTTTCTTCGATATATCTGGGCGGGGGGGGGGGGGGGGGGGCTCCTTATGCACGTGTTCCGGTGCTTGATCGACTTTGACGCCCTTACTTCGCGGACGAACGGCGTGTCTAGGCTTTTTTTATCGTTGTTTTGCACGTGTTTCGGCGTTCGGTCCGCTTTGACGTGCCAACTCTCCATTCTGCTGCTGCGTGTGTTAGGTATTTGCCGTACTGTATTCTCAGGCCTTCTGTGTTCAGCCAGCGCTGCTATCGTATTATCTACGGATACTAAAATAAATCACTGTTTGGTTTGGTGAAGTTTGGCAGACAGAACAAACAATAATCTGGCCCATAAATATCAATGTGGGCGGCATGCTTATTTGTGTGCGGTGTCCTGCCGGGGAGTAACCGTTGCGTGACGAGAGCATTTACAGCGGTTCCTCCTTCCGTTGCTCCCTTACAAACTTAAGATGAATACAGTTGCTCCCCCATTCTCGAACAAGTCGGCCATCTTGTTCCGCTTGGTCTTTTCGGAGAGTAACAGTCGGTCTGAAGGAGTAAAAACAGCCGTTGCTCCCATTTTGGCCATTTTTGGCTTAGAGTGTTGAGAAATCCAATAGAACACTCCCAAATGACACAATCGCGACAGCCAATCACCTCCGTGACATAAGAAGTGGCCCTACTTATTCACTGGGCAATGTTTTTTCGAAGGTGGCGTCATCTGCCACCTGTCTCATGAGCCTATATAGTCTATTTTCCGTAAGACCTATGGGTGCCGCCATCTCGCGTTGGCAAGTCGAGGTTTTCTTGCGTCTGTATATTGCGTCGTCAATTAATAAGGCTATTAATATCGTAGGCACCAACCCAATTTATTGCATGCGTATCAGTCTACCGAAACACTGTGTGTTTAGTTGTTAAAGATGCAGAAAGGCTAAGATTTCAATATGGTGGCACTGAAACCTGTCCATAAATGTCGCAGCTTTGCCGAAAAGGCGAAGCAATGGACGCGATAGCAACAAATTTGAAGGTCACGCGCAGAATGGCAAGCAGATCGCAATGTGCCCCACGTTTCTCGCGCACAAATGACGCACTAAACGTAGTCACAGGTACAGATGAACGCAAATAGGCGTCTCAGTAGTTACTTCGCTTTGTCTGAAAAGCGCACCCTTTCGCAGAAGGAGGCTGTGCAACAATTGCAGTGACCTTTGTGCGCCTGGTAACTACAACATAATCGTTCCTACAAAATCCCAAGGCTAGCCAAGACGTACAATTTTCTCCACTACAAGATAGAGGCGCGCGATCGAGCGTACACCCCCTTATTCTCTACGCGGGCCAAAATACGCGTGAGAGATGAGAGCCGCCGCGCGCTCACTGCGCCATCTTGCTGCTAATGCTGCAAACACAATACCCCCCCCCCCCCCCCGAGATACCCGCCAGCACCGGTAAGTGATAGATACGAATAGCTTGCCGTTCGAACGCTGAAGGAGGTACCTCTCGGTGGCTCTGTGGTTAACGCCTCGCATTCACGACGCGGAGGTCCCACGTTCGATTCCGCGCACCGGAGTACCCTTTTCTGGAATTCCTTTTTCTTTCTTGCGTTTTCATATATATAGTATAAATATACGTATAGTATACTATACATAGTATACATATACATATATTATGCATATACATATACGGTGCATGACATCAACGCCGACGCCCACGCCGAAGCCAGCAGCGAAATCCAGCTGAGCCCTATAATTGATATCGCAATAAAAGTGTATAGAGAGCACGCCCACGGGCCCGGCTTTTGTGCATCCACGTTTTAGTAGGATGTGTCGCAAACTCCTAAATTTGGACATATAGGCTAGTTTCACTTCGCTTAACTATAGGAATTTTCGATGTGAACCGTAAAACTGGTTTCCAGCTCTCTTATGTTTTTCCCTCGTTATCCGCACCAAAAAGTGGTGTCTGCGAGTACTCCTTGCGGCGTCCGCTATGAATGTCCTTGCCTCTCTGATTACAGAAACGTTTACCGCCTCGGCTGCTGACCCGCAGGTCGCGGGTTCGATTCCCGGCTGCGGCGGCTGCATTTCCGATGGAGGCGGAAATGTTGTAGGCCCGTGTACTCAGATTTGGGTGCACGTTAAAGAACCCCAGGTGGTCAAAATTTCCGGAGCCCTCCTCTACGGCGTCTCTCATAATCAAATGGCGGTTTTGGGACGTTAAACTCCACAAATCAATCAATCAGAAACGTCTACCGCTACACTTGAGGCAGCGTCCGCCATAGACATCATGGCAAAGGTTGTGATGACGTCACTTTTGACGCTACCGGAAGCAGTGTCGGCTACGCGCGCTCCTTTTGGTAACTCCACTGTACTACGAGGAACCACTCCTTTGATAACAAAAATGGGGGACACTTAAGCTTCGTTTTTCAAGCGCTGAACGCTATAGTGACATTCTGTCTCTATAGTGTGTACTTCAGCCACTTTCTGCCTACTTTCGCATGATGTTAAGCGAGAAGTTTAAATTTGCATTACTACAATGTCATCGATAAAGTTGAAAGTGGCTTGTGTCAGTGAAGCTTTCGCATGTGTTTGCATTCTGCGTAAATGGCACGATTCTTTGAACATTATGCCCGAGCAATTATGCGCATGAAATATTTTTGAACCTTTAAGGGAATACCTGCAATAAAGTGTAAGCATTTTATTATGGGTGGTCGGCTTCAGACCATGAAGCTCTTAAGATATTAGTCTTGCGCCTGACGGCAATGTACGCTTTCACCACGCAATATTATATGCTGTGACATTACATGTTCTATATTCAAGCCTGTATACGGGACGTGTGTGTTTGTAATGCATGAAAGTTTATTTCACTGCATCTCCAAGCAGGGTAAGTTATTTTCGCTGTATTTATTTATTTATTTCTTTATTGTTATTTATTATTTATTGAACAATACAGCCAGTCCAATCAGACGTTATAGCAGGGAGGAAGGCATATGAAAACATTTGTTTACACAAAGTTATAATAGCTAAAATCATAAAAAAGTGAAATTACAAAATGACATACAATTTCCAAGCAGAAACGTGACTGTGTGGTAAGCGGCTGCTTGCCACGCGGACGGCCTGAACTCCATCCTCACTTCAGGCCGAGAAAGTTTAGATGTGAAGCAGCCTATGGCTCAATTCAATTCCGAGTGTATGTGACCACCCTTGCCGCGCACGCGCTGCCAGAATGTCCTCACGAGCTAGCGCCTTCCAACCCGTGTAAGACACTGTGGCCTTTCCCCTTATGTTCTTTCAGCAATCACGTGATGGCGTCCGGGAACGAGATTCTGCGGACGCGCTATGAACGCACGTGCTCCCACGTGGCGTGGCGACGAACGCGCGACGCGTTCTCCAACGAAAGTTCGAGACGAGCAACCCCGACTGAAACTACATTTACTTTACTGCGTACTCCTCTGCAAGGGCGCGTTAATATCGGGCCTAGGTGACTGTGATGAACAAAACCATTAAGTCGACCCATTGCGCTCTTTTGCGTGCTATATACTTGTGCTTTCCTTTAGTGGGAAGTTGTGTAATTTTTATGATTCACTTTATCTCCATCTTTCTTGATTTTCGGTCATAGACAATATGATTTTTCGCTCACAACCAATGACGCAAACACCAACGCCGACGCTGGGAATTTCTTCAAAACGAGCTCCTTAACGCTATCACACTAAAACATTGCGTAGCTGCACCAAGCTGTACCTATTTCTTTGCCACCGCACCTCGGGCCAGCGACATTTGTGGTGGCAGCTTTATAGCCTACAGTAGGCGTCTCGCTTTTGCCACTAGAAAGGTATTCTAGTTCATGCGCTGAGACGTCGTGCGTTTCAAGGCCATAGCATTAAAGCGCTCGTCTCGCAGAAATTCCGGGGTTGTTGTCGGTAAAAACGCTTGTGCAGTTATGTGGGTGTGACGTTGCGAAGTAATTTTTTACACGCCAGTCTGGTACAGGTGCATGATAAGGCCTTGATATGCACATTTCTATTGACTTACACAAGACGGGCCGACCAACTTCTTTAAGGCTCGGCACAAGTCATTATATCTGGTGTAAGAAGCTATTCGCAGACTGTTTTGTATAAGGTCGATTCCGACATGCAAAATAAGCTTGAATCTACATTTTCGTTCTTTTGTACACCTGCGGAGCTGACCATCTCGTAACGCCATGAGCACTCTAACCTAAATCTTTGTAAATAATTCGCCTTGCAAATAGCGCGTGACTAAGAGCTTCAATCGCTTGCCGCATTAACTTTATGCGTGTACTGCAGCGCAAATGCCATCATCTCTGAGCAGAGGTGGACCCGTGCCGCCACGGCACGTGGCGAGCGTGCCGGACAGGTCTACGGCCAGCTGGCCACTGGACTCCGGGCCTCCCGGTGCGGACGCCTTCGGTCGAGGGTGGAGGCGTGCGCCGCTGTGCTCTGGACGGGTGCACTTGTGACGTTGCTGTACTACAGCACCTCCGAGACTCTAGCCATACTGAAGGAGTACTTCACGTACAGCGTGGCCGTCGCGTTCGAGTACAACACCAACACGTCATTCGAGCTGCCCGACGTCACCGTGTGCAACGTCAACCCGTTGCGTAGGTCAAAACTATGCGCTCTCAACGCCTCAGAGCGGGAAATGAGCTCCGAGCTGGAGAAACGCGTCTGCGGCGAAGGACAAGACATACAAGAGGTAAGAAAACGTAATCAAAACATTGGTTAGCTGAACATCGGAGTGAACAAAAACACTGCGACATTAATAGATATGTTCATTACTAACATAGAAGCTTCGAAATGTTTGTCCGGCGTACTAAGCGCACCCATCAGTGACCACCTTCCTATCTTTATGCTGATAAACGAAACCGTAAACTGTGCGCCAGCCCAACTCAGAGAACCGATAGTTATTCAAGATATTAATGAATATACACTGGCTGCATTTCGCAAGGAGATATCGTTAACCGATTGGTCAGGCGTGTATTGCGAGCAAGAACCTGAAGCCGCCTATGATATTTTCCATGACAAACTGATAAGGGTGTACAAGAAATGCTTTTCGTACAAACAGCTCAAGCATACGCGCAAAGCCAAAAAACCGTTGCTGACTAAAAGTTGTCTTAATGAAAAAAACGTAAAAAAAGCACGTGCTCCCACGTGGCGTGGCGACGAACGCGCGACGCGTTCTCCAACGAAAGTTCGAGACGAGCAACCCCGACTGAAACTACATTTACTTTACTGCGTACTCCTCCTGCAAGGGCGCGTTAATATCGGGCCTAGGTGACTGTATGAACAAAACATTAAGTCGACCCATGCGCTCTTTTGCGTGCTATATACTTGTGCTTTCCTTTAGTGGGAAGTTGTGTAATCTTTTATTATTCACTTTATCTCCATCTTTCTTGATTTTCGGTCATAGACAATATGATTTTTCGCTCACAACCAATGACGCAAACACCAACGCCGACGCTGGAATTTCTTCAAAACGAGCTCCTTAACGCTATCACACTAAAACATTGCGTAGCTGCACCAAGCTGTACCTATTTCTTTGCCACCGCACCTCGGGCCAGCGACATTTGTGGTGGCAGCTTTTATAGCCTTACAGTAGGCGTCTCGCTTTTGCCACTAGAAAGGTATCTAGTTCATTGCGCCTGAGACGTCGTGCGTTTCAAGGCCATAGCATTAAAGCGCTCGTCTCGCAGAAATTCCGGGGTTGTTGTCGGTAAAAACGCTTGTGCAGTTATGTGGGTGTGACGTTGCGAAGTAATTTTTCACGCCAGTCTGGTACAGGTGCATGATAAGGCCTTGATATGCACATTTCTATTGACTTTACACAAGACGCCGACCAACTTCTTTAGACTCGGCACAAAGTCATTATATCTGGTGTAAGAAGCTATTCGCAGACTGTTTTGTATAAGGTCGATTCCGACAATGCGCAAAATAAGCTGGAATCTACATTTTCGTTCTTTTGTACACCTGCGGAGCTGACCATCTCGTAACGCCATGAGCACTCTAACCTAAATCTTTGTAAATAATTCGCCTTGCAAATAGCGCGTGACTAAAGAGCTTCAATCGCTTGCCGCATTAACTTTAGCGTGTTACTGCAGCGCAAATGCCATCATCTCTGAGCAGAGGTGGACCCGGCCGCCACGGCACGTGGCGAGCGTGCGGACAGGTCTACGGCCAGCTGGCACTGGACTCCGGCCTCCCGGGTGCGGACGCCTTCGTCGAGGGTGGAGGCGTGCGCCGCTTGCTCTGGACGGGTGCACTTGTGACGTTGCTGTACTACAGCACCTCCGAGACTCTCGCCATACTGAAGGAGTACTTCACGTACAGCGTGGCCGTCGCGTTCGAGTACAACACCAACACGTCATTCGAGCTGCCCACGTCACCGTGTGCAACGTCAACCCGTTGCGTAGGTCAAAACTATGCGCTCTCAACGCCTCAGAGCGGGAAATGAGCTCCGAGCTGGAGAAACGCGTCTGCGGCGAAGGACAAGACATACAAGAGGTAAGAAAACGTAATCAAAACATTGGTTAGCTGAACATCGGAGTGAACAAAAACACTGCGACATTAATAGATATGTTCATTACTAACATAGAAGCTTCGAAATGTTTGTCCGGCGTACTAAGCGCACCCATCAGTGACCACCTTCCTATCTTTATGCTGATAAACGAAACCGTAAACTGTGCGCCAGCCCAACTCAGAGAACCGATAGTTATTCAAGATATTAATGAATATACACTGGCTGCATTTCGCAAGGAGATATCGTTAACCGATTGGTCAGGCGTGTATTGCGAGCAAGAACCTGAAGCCGCCTATGATATTTCCATGACAAACTGATAAGGGTGTACAAGAAATGCTTTTCGTACAAACAGCTCAAGCATACGCGCAAAGCCAAAAAACCGTTGCTGACTAAAAGTTGTCTTAATGAAATAAAACGTAAAAATAAATTGTTCGAAAACTTCCTGAAAAACAAGAACGAAGAAGCGCTTAAACGTTTCAAAGCCCAGCGAAATAAAGTAAACAGCCTGTTGCGTTACAAAAAGAGAACGTACTTAAACAGCATCTTCAACAAAGATGTAATGAATAAACAAGACTTGGCTTGGTCTAGACTAAACAAATTTCTTGGCCGTAACGGTGATTGGATTGGATAAATTTTTATTTGGTCCTCCAAAACACAGATCACTGTGTTGCGGGCATCTCCCACGTGGGGACTGAGATGCCAAGCTCCTCAGCCGCCTCGCGGGCTTGGTGGACAGCCCAGAGCTGATCTGCCAAGGATGAGCTGCGGATTGCCGCCTCCCATCTGGCAGAGGTGATGTGCGATAAATGAGCGAATTTGGTGCACTGCCAGAGCATGTGTTCTAATGAAGCTATTTCCCCACAATGTGGACAAAGATTACTTGGATATAGGTCAGGGTACATGATGTGTAACATTTTCAAAGTAGGGTACATCCGCGTTTGCAAAAGCCTTAATGTAAGTGCTTGGGGCCGGGTTAGATTTTTGTGAGGTGGAGGAAAAATCCTTCTAGACAGGTAGAAATGTTTAGTGAGCTCGTTATATGTTGTAAGAATTTCCCGGTTATCCCCTTCACCGCTAGAACGCATCCCCGGGGAGGCGCGGTTGGAGAGTTCTCGCGCCGCCTCGTGTGCTGCTTCGTTGAGATTGGGAGGGGAATCGTTGATTTGTCCAAGGTGAGCTGGGAACCAACTCAGAAGATGATGTGTTATGTTCTTGCCTTGCAGTATTTTTAGCGTTTGTTCACAGACCGTCCCCTTGGCGAACGCCCGTAGTGCTGCCATGGAATCACTGTAGACCACTTCAATGTTATCCATCTTGAGTGCTAAGGCGATGGCCACTTGTTCCGCAATGATTGGGTCTTTCGTCCTGACCGTCGCTGAGTTGACGACATGGCCAGCCCCATCGACTACCACTGCCACAAACGCTTTCCCATTGGCGTAGGAAGCCGCGTCAACAAATACGACCCCTCGTTTGAGACTTGACGAAGTATAGTCCTGGCCCTCGCTACTCTTCTTCCGACGTTGTGTTCTGGATGCATGTTTCTCGGTATAGGAGATACCGTGATAGTCTCCCTGATGTTGTCAGGGATATCATTGTAATTGCGTCTGATTGCTATTGGGTTTTGGCCCAGCTCCTGCAGGATCATTCTCCCCGACCTTGTAGTAGATAACCTTGCAAACTGTGCTCTCTCTTGGGCTTCTGCTATTTTTTCGAGCGTGTTGTGTATGTCAAGCTCAAGCAGACGCTCGGTGCTGGTATGTATGGGTAGGCGCAGGACCTTCTTGATAACTTCCTGAGGAGCACATTCAGTGTCTCGGACTCTGCTCTTGACCAGTTGTGCATTGCTGCCTCGTATGTGAAGTGACTTAGAACAAACGCATGCATCAACCTGATGAGGTTGTCTTCCTTGATCCCATTTCTTTTGTTGGCCACTCTGCGTATGAGGTGCACCGCACTGTCTGTTTTCCGAGTTAACTTGGCTATAGATTTGCTGTTGGCGCCGGTAGACGTAACGGTGATGACTTCAGGCCTACTGAGCTTGTGATAGACGGTGACGTTATTTATAAGGATGATTTAGCAAACTATTCAATGACTATTTTGTATCTCTAGCAAAGGAACAGTACAATTCAGCTTGTACCATATATTTGTCTGACAGTATCTCTGAGAGCGCGTTTTTGGCGCCAACACAGCTGGTGAACTTTCACGTGCTTTTTCGTCTGTGAAAAACAGCACGTGTTGTGACGCATATGACATACAGATTAAGCCCATCAAACACGTATTAGATATCATTGCTGAATTATTAGAGCATATCTTTAATCTTGCTTTTTCCACCGGAATTTTCCCACAAAAGTTAAAAGTTGAAAGTGGCTTGTGTCAGTCAAGCTTTCGCATGTGTTTGCATTCTGCGTAAATGGTACGATTCTTTGAACAATTATGCCCGAGCAATTATGCGCATGAAATATTTTTGAACCTTTAAGGGAATACCTGCAATAAAGGTACGCATTTTATTATGGGTGGTCGCTTCAGACCATGAAGTTCTTATGATAATAGTCTTGCGCCTGACGGCAATGTACGCTTTTACCACGCAATATTATATGCTGTGACATTACATGTTCTATATTCAAGCCTGTATACGGGACGTGTGTGTTTGTAATGCATGAAAGTTTATTTCACTGCATCTCCAAGCAGGGTAAGTTATTTTCGCTGTATTTATTTATTTATTTATTGTTATTTATATATTTATTGAACAATACAGCCAGTCCAATCAGAAGTTATAGCAGGGAGGAAGGCATATGAAAACATTTGTTTACACAAAGTTATAATAGCTAAAATCATAAAAAAGTGAAATTACAAAATGACATACAATTTCCAAAGCAGAAACGTGACTGTGTGGTAAGCGGCTGCTTGCCACGCGGACGGCCTGAACTCCATCCTCATTCAGGCCGAGAAAGTTTAGATGCGAAGCAGCCTATGGCTCAATTCAATTCCGAGCGTATGTGACCACCCTTGCCGCGCACGCGCTGCCAGAATGGCCTCACGAGCTAGCGCCTTCCAACCCGTGTAAGACACTGTGTCCTTTCCCCTTAAGCTCTTTCAGCAATCACGTGATGGCGTCCGGGAACGAGATTCTGCGGACGCGCTATGAACGCACGTGCTCCCACGTGGCGTGGCGACGAACGCACGCGGCGTTCTCCACCGAAAGTTCGAGACGAGCAACCCCGACAGAAACTACATTTACTTTACTGCGTACTCCTCTTGCAAGGGCGCGTTAATATCGGCCCTTAGTGACTGTGATGAACAGAACATTAAGTCGACCCATGCGCTCTTTTGCGTGCTATATACTTGTGCTTTCCTTTAGTGGGAAATTGTGTAGTCTTTTATTATTTACTTTATCTCCATCTTTCTTGATTTTCAAAAGGTCTGGAAAAACTAATTCAAAAGCGTATGGTTTCTTTCCTACATAAGCACCACATCATCACTTCTTCGCAGTTTGGTTTTATCAAAGGCCGTACGACTGAACATGCTCTTTTAGAACAGAAAGAATTTATACTAAATGCTTTTGAACGCGAACTACACACTTTAGGCATCTTCGTAGACTATTCAAAGGCGTTCGACACAATAAATCACATTACGCTGCTAAAGAAATGTGCACACTATGGATTTCGAGGTGTTTTCTTACAACTCATTGAATCATACCTAATGTATCGGCAGCAGGAAGTAGTCGTCGGCAATTGTACCTCCAATTTACTAAAAATTTCAGCGGGTGTACCACAAGGTAGCATATTAGGGCCTCTGCTTTTTTGTATACATAAATGATATTGTAAAAATTGACACGTCGGTAAAATGTATTATATACGTTGATGATACAACCTTGCTTCTTACTGCTGAAAATTATACAAACTTAATTAATGACGCAAATGAGGTACTGGCGAAGTTGGCCACGTGGACATGCATTAACTGTTTAAAACTTAACACATCAAAAACAAAAGCTGTATATTTCAGGCCGAAAAATAAACAAACCCCTTGTCGTGTCCCATTAAAACTTGGCAGTTCAGAACTTGAGATAGTACAACGTATTAAGTGTCTGGGAATAATTTTCGATCAACACATGTCTTGGAACGCACACACTGAAAACTATGTGGCACTATATCAAGGATTTCGGGCATATTATCCCGGGTGCGTTTCTCGCTACCTAAGGCAGTTAAACTTCTCATCTATAAATCCCTGTTTTTATCTCACGTCAACTACCGTCATCAGGTTTGGGGTACGACAACTCTAACAAATATCCGCAAACTGCACGTCATACAGAAAAGGGCTGTTCGTGCCGTTGCAAATGCTCCATATCACGTCACACCACTCCCATATTTCACGACATGAAGCTTCTACCTCTACCTGAACACTACCACGCAATGCTTGTGAAACGCTACCAGCAGGATTAAAAGGCGACAACCTTTTAGGAACCATTGCCACCTAAACCACCGCAAAGTTCTTTATAACACGCGTTTCAATCACACATGGCTTATCCCACGCACGCGCACTAACTACGGCAAAGAAATGCTGCGCTTCCTCCTGCCGTTTCACTTGAATGCCATATCGTCTTCCATTTGAGTGACTGTTCTGATTGTAAGTGTAGTAAGCGTATGGGCACATGCCCCATATGTTTTTTTACTTTGGTGCTAATCTTGCGATCTTCTTTCTTGCATCGTTACACTCTCTTATTGATATCGTATGTGTAAGGAAATAATTACGGTCATTTCTTTGAGTTTATTACTTTTCAATCTTCATGCTTTATTATGCTTATGCTTTATTAAGCTTATGCTTACTATACTTTATGCTTTATGCTTGCTCAAATTTTTGTACATTGTCACTGCAATACAAGTGTTGCCTATGCTGCCCATTTGTAAGGGGTCGTGGTCCAAGTCAAGCCCTTTAGAGGCTTTTGACCACGGCCCTCAGCATCCCGAATGTTGAAATAAATAAATAAATAAATAAATAAAATCTTATTGTTCAATGTTCAATTTTCATTGATATGTGGGGTTTAACGTCCCAAAACCACCGAATTATTATTAGAGACGCCGTAGTGGAGGGCTCCGGAAATGTCGACCACTTGGGGTTCTTTAAGTGCACTCAAATCTGAGCACACTGGCCTACAGCATTTTCGCCTCCATTAAAAATTAAGCCGCTGCCGCCGGGATTCGATCCCGTGACCTGCGGGTCAGCAGCCGATTACCTTAGCCACTATACCTTCACGGCGGGGCTCAATGTTCAATGTTCGCTCGGTAGGTACGTCGATAAGCCTTGAGCCAGCAAGCGAACCATTCACCTCGTAACTCACTAACTTGATCAATAAACCAATCAGTAAATGATTCAAATGGTATTTCTAATTTACGTACTTTGTTGACTCTCCACATTTGAAGAACCTGTGAGTTCCCGGTAGCAGCGTTGCCACTGACATCCGAGTCAATGTCGCCAAACAACGAGCAAAACGTCGCCTACAGTCGCCATTTTTTTTCGAATTTCGCCGACGAATATCACCACTCTTGATATGTGCGGCATGCCTAGTAATATATATTGCAAATTATGTGTAGCCCTGTACAATACAGTACCATTCATAATGCCTAAACTCTACTGACTGTTCTTCCATCCCACTCGCATCGCTCGTTTCATCATGCGGCTGCTTGGTATACCAGGTTTTCCAATTATACCTGCAACCTGCGCTTGGAGGTGGAGGTTTACCATCCATTCCGAATGGAACGCTCATGATATCCTTCCAACTGATAACGCTCATTTCAAAAGTGAAAGTATAATAAACCATGGATGAAAAGAGCAAAAGCGTTGTCTGTTGACATCTTTGATTGATATGTGGGGTTTAACGTCCCAAAACCATCGAATAATTACGATAGACGCCGTAGTGGTGGGCTCTGGAAATTTCGACCACTTGGAGTTCTTTAACGTGCACTCAAATCTGAGCACACTGGCCCACAGCATTTCCGTCTCCATCAAAAATTCAGCCGCCGCAGCCGGGATTTGATCCCTTGACCTGCGGGTCAGCAGCTGATAACCTTAGCCACTATACCTTCACGGCGGGGCTCAATGTTCAATGTTCGCTCGGCAGGTACATCGATAAGCCTTGAGCCAGCAAGCGAACCATTCACCTCCTAACTCACCAACTTGATCAATAAATCAATGAGTAAATGAATTTATTAGTATCACTCATTTACTTACTTTGTTGACTCTCCACATTTCAAGAGCCTGTGGGTGCTTGGTAGCAGCGTTGCCACTGACATCCGCGTCAATGTCGCCAAACAACGAGCGAAACGTCGCCTAATGTCACCATTCTTCTTCAAATTTCACCGAAAAATTTCACCACTCTTGATATGTGCGCCATGCCTAGTAATAAAAATTGCAAATTATGTGTAGCCCTATAAATATAGTACAATTCATATAGCCTAAATTCTACTGACTCTTTTTCAATCCCACTCGCACCGCTCGTTTCGGCATGCGGCTGCTTGGTATGCGAGGTTTTCCTACTTTAACTGCAACATGGGCTTGGTGGCGGAGGGTTACCATCCGTTCCGAATGGAACGCTCATGATATTCTTCCAACTGAGTGCGCCCATTTCAAAAGTGAAAGTGTGGTAAATCATGGATGAAAAGAGCGAAAGCGTTGTCTGTTGACAGCTTTCCGTACCGAGATGCGAATCAAAAGGCTTATAGAGAGTAACGTGCCTAAAAGAAACCAATTATTATATAAAAACATAAAACATGCGCCGTCAACAAAATTGAATCTGTTCGAAGGAAGGCGGTTCGTTTCATTTGCCATCGCCATGATTGTACCTTGTCACTTTCATCTGAATGGAATTCCTCGAAACTCCCTATCATATCCAGCAGACGTGATACCTGTTCTCTAAAGAGATTACGCTCATTTGTTTATTTTTTTGTTGACTATCTTCACATTATTACATCTCATACGCCAATACTCTTTCAACTACTACACCCCCAATGCGGTGCCTTTCTCTACGCACACGAACATTTTCAAGAACAGTTAATTTCCTAGAGACATTGAAAGGTGGAATGAATTACCCGGTAGTATTTGTGAATCGTCATTGTCGGATTTCGGGAACTCACTTATAGTAAATCATTGTTTCCTTGTTTTTTTGTTTGTTTTTTGCTTTAATGTCACCCTTGTAATCAGCATATTTTATTATTGAAAATGTACCCCACTCCTGCAATAGCCCTGCAAGGACTGCACTATTTGAAAATAAATAGAGAAATAAAAAATAATCTGTGATCGGAACACGTAGCCTAACCGTGACCTAGCCATCTCTGAAATCAAATTTAAAGCGCCTAAAGAACTCAGTCGAACACCACTGCCTCGCAGCACGCGAGCATCGCCGTGGTGGTCTAGTGGCTAAGGTACTCGGCTGCTGACCCGCAGGTCGTGGGGTCAAATCCCGTCTGCGGCGGCTGCATTTCCGATGGAGGCGGGAGTGTTGTAGGCCCGTGTGCTCAGATTTGGTTGCACGTTAAAGAACCCCAGGTAGTCGGAATTTCCGGAGCCCTCCACTACGGCGTCTCTCATATTCATATGGTGGTTTTGGGACGTTAAACCCCGCATATCAATCAATCGCAGTACGCGAAGAAGCCTTGTCATTTGAATTTCGATGGAAGCTTGCTGGAACGTACTTGTACTTCAGGTACTCGGAGGAATGCAGGAGATATTCATAGAAGACAGGGTGGACGTGCTCAATAGCCGCGTGCCGTCAATAATTCATTGGAAAAGGTATGAGCATAAAATGCGTAACTCGTACGACACCTAAACCTAAAATCAGAGAAAAAGCTCGTCATGTCACCCTTCGTAAATTTAGGTCACCACGGGCCTCTAGTCCCTGTGGCAATCCAGCTACCCGGTAGTATTGGAAATTGAACTCAGTCGTGATGTGCTCACATTAATTGCTAGTGTCGTCTTCATGCACCCATCGGTATTTCTAATTAGAAATGTAACACGACCTGGCACCCAGTGCGTGTGGCCTCTCTTTTCAGTTCCCTTACATCTTTCACTCCTCTTGAAACCATTGTCTCTATTAGAAAGCCTCATGCTTGGTAGTTCAGCGGAATCTAGGAGCTACGGACGCGTTTTAGCCCAGATATGAGAGGCTTGAGAAACCAGGCGTCATTTGGCTGCCTATAGGTGGCACCAATAATCGTGTCGAAGCCGAGCCACAAGAACGTAAACTTTTATCTCTGTGCAGGCCAATCCAGACGACCTAAAGCTACAGCAGCAGATATCGGACTGGATTGCGCACCACAAGACCAAGAACCGCGAATGGCTCAGAACACTCGGTCATCAGTTTGCCGGCACTTTCTTCGACTGCACTTACCACAACCAGGACTGCAAGGACGCGTCGTATGTCATGGCCCTGGAGACTTCCTTTTATATTTCGCGAAATCGCAATAGCATACGATTCAGAACATCATTATATTTAAGTTTATGTCTCCTAAAGAGACGATGGCGGATACCGATTTACTCTGCAGGTGATAGAACCTATTCCGCACAGTTCGCCTCTGCAGATGAGCGTTATCGTTCTGTGTACAACGAAATGTGAGTGAGAGCTTAACGGAGCTCTCTGACACTTTGAGGCACTGTGTCAAGGTGGAGAGAGTAAAACGCAGATTAAGCGAGGAAAAGGACGTAGAGTCGCTAACGATATGCAACTTATCTTGCTAACCGGCATGGACACAATGGGAAGCTGGCAGAGTAAAGAAAAGGAAGCGTAAGGAATGCATTATTGTGCACCCTCCTCACTCATATGAGCTGCAGAAATTGATTGATTTATATGCGGGGTTTAATTTCCCAAAACCACGATATGATTATGAGAGACACTGTAGTGGAGGGATCCGGAAATTACAACCACATAGGGTTCTTTAACGTGCACCCAAATCTGAGCACACAGGCCTACAGCATTTCCGCCTCCATCGGAAATGCAGCCGCCGCAGCCAGGATTTGATCCCGCGACCTGCGGGTCAGCAGCCGAGTACCTTAGTCACTAGACCACCGCGGTGGGGGCGTTGGAGAAATTCATGAGTTTGTTATTAGTCTAACTGTAACGAAAGGAAATTATTTGCGAGTCATATCCTGTTCCAGGCAAAAGAAGGACAAGCCGTATTTCTGGGAGCATATTATCATGTCATTGAATCATTTTAAAAGCAAGCTACAAAGTAAACAAACTACAGGACAACAAGCTACATAGGGTAAACGTCTCTGGTGGAAAGTAAAACCTCTCTTACGTCTCTTACGTCTGTTTCACGTGCACTGTGCCGAAAAGAACAGGGGCAGTGCGTGACAGGTGCATTTTGTTTCGCAGGCTCTACCGTAAGATCATTAACGTGCTTTACGGAAACTGCTTCTGCTTCCTCTGTGGTCACAAGGAGCGAATGGAGTACAGCGCCCTGTCGTCACCGTACGATGGTAATGGTGCACTTTTTTCGAAAATTAAAAAAAAAGACAAACAATGCCTGCAGATGTGGAGGAGCCAGAACGTTCTTTTTACGTTTAGCGCTAGCTATTATCGTATATAACTCGTAATGCACATTACCATTGCGGTCAGAAACTTCGAACAGTCTGCACGTTTAGTGTCTAGTCTCTCCGTAATCGTTTATTTGTGTTAGTAGGCCTGGGTGAAGTTTTTGTGAGCCTAGTTCTAACAGTGGTCTTAACACGATTATCGCAATGATTGGTTTTGCATGTGCTAAAACCTTGGCGAATTCCTTCAGCCGAAGTCCCCTGGGTGGACTAAAAATGGTGAATGAAAAAAAAAGATTCTCAACTCATTTTGTAGCACAAAGCGATGAATAGATTTGACACAGAATTTCCAAAATGAAAGCTTCTTAAGTTGAAAAGAAGACCATGCTGGAAACATAATGCTCGTGAACAGCACACGAACAAGCAGAAAGAGACCAACAACGCCAGAACGTATGTGCCTCTCTACACGGCCGTCTACTGTTCGCCACTATCATGTTACATAGTGATAACGAAAACCAATCGAGTCAGCTGTCCTTGAGCTCATGCTCGAACAAGATTCCATTCCACTGACATATGTCATTACGGGACTGTGGAACTACTGCGCGACGCCAAGTGAAGCTAAATTGAGTCGACAGACCGAAGCTGGGAGGGTGATTGAATATGGGACGAAACCACTTCATCGTTCGGTTATCAGCATACCAAGCAGTAATAAAACGACAGGGATGATATTCGTAGTGTATAATGAACAGGAGAACACCACAACAGACGAGAACTGACAAAGATAACACACACTTCTTAAGCGATAAGCTGCAATGATCTCTCGCAGTTAACGCGAAAGATTATTGAAGCTTCTCATGTCAGTAAGTTTGACAGATTGTGAGTAAGTTCTTCAATTGCGCCATTGAGAAAAAATATTGCGTAGCTTAGCCATTTCTAAGTTGTATATGGCTTCTTGTTCAATCAACATGCGACAAGAGTGTTTGTTATTGTATAACCATCGAAACGGTTGATAACTGCGCCCTCTTCTACGCATGCCTATATTCTACTCATATGTATATGTATACATCGCTTCGCTATTTAAAGTTCTTGAAAGTCAGGGCTGTGCGTCTTATCTTCGTCATTTATTGTGTGCTGCGCTGTTCTTGTATTCTTTAGACATTCATGAGAAACGTCTCGTTTGATTAATTTAATGAATTAGTTTAGTGGGTTGAAAAGACGAGAAATCCCTCAACAAAGGGGTTGATGGAGCCAATACTTTAACAAGCAGTTTTTTTTCTTTTGTTTAAAACAACAAACACATGTGCATGCATGGTTTGCACACGCTTCCTGAACCACAAAGACGGAGGAGGAGAGGACACTTTATTCGAGGATATTTCATCTCTTCGAGCCTCCATCGACTCCAGTACCCCTGTCTTTTGTGGACTCGTAATTTAGTAACGTAATCAATCACTTCGAATGAATAGTTCCGAGAACTTTGCAAAATGCTTTTTTTTCTATTGCTTTAGACAAAAACCTAGCGTGTCCGTCTTTTGATAGCGTGAAAATTGATTTTAAAAAGGCGAGAACAAATAACAAGAGACAAGGACGCACTTTCAGTCAAATGAGGACACCGCTGTGACTCTCCCTTCTACTCCCAGCTGTTTCTGCAACGCAACAAGGATATCTGAGATTTCAGTGCATATGTGCTGTAAGTTAGGTGTACAGGTATTACCTTTTCTCAACTTGTTAAATAATTTTATTACTCCTCAGAAATAGGCTAATGGTAATGTAATAAGATTACTTTCAGACAACTGTATTCTTTATTATTATTTACATATGTTTTTATTTTCGGTAATGGTATTTATCATGTATTTTAATTACTGTTTAGGAGTTGTTTACCATCTTAGTCTGTCATGTTGCCAAACATTCTATAGTCGGTGACCTTCGAAGCGTTGATTTGCTCAATTTCTTGTCACGCGGTAATTCCGCGCGTCCGTGTTCCTTTACGCGCCTATTTCGGTCTCATGCAGGGCTCGTGATCACGCTGAATCCAGAGCTGCATGAATACCTGCCCACTTCCTACCAGGCAGGCTTCATTGCTATGGTGCACGCACATGGCACCAGGTGAGCGTTCAAGTTACATTTAAAGCGTTGAGTTTATCGATTTAGTGAATATCATTAGCAAGTTATACGATTCACATACAGTGTACATATCTCACATTCGTATCAAAAAAGGGAGTCCCGTGGAACGCTTCGCAGCAGTTCTTTGCGACGTTACTGGAATTTTATGAATCCTTCACCTCAAAAATTGTTGTTTGTAAACTCTAAAAGTATTTTAATTCGATTGTTAGTGAGCGCCAACACCAGATGCGAAGGTCTTAACTGTCTCTTTGCAGGTTCTCGGTCTGTCAGGATAGCGTATACCTCTCTCCAGGCTACACCACGTACGTCGGCCTAAACCTGGTAATGTCTCATCTACAACCAACCCTTGTTCCTTCAATAACGTCACGTACCTTTCTTTTTCAGTTTGCCATATCTGAGCAATTCCGGTGCTTACTTTAACTAGTAGCAAAATGCACCATAGACACCGTACATAGACAAGAACGCTTCACATCTCGCACTTACTACATCAACATCCTGCCATATTACAGCCTGTATATTTAGGGGACCTATTTACAATAAGACAGTGCGCAATTATCTAATCGAACGCGGTACCCACCTGTGGGTTAGTGCGAACGAAATCTCTGATAAAAGTTTAAAGCTTGTATGTTTAGTGTGGCCTAAATTCGTTTGCGGTGTTTGTGCTTCATGCTGAGGTTAATTTTTCTAAAAATTTTGTCTTTCTTCGTAACTGTCAACGTAATACTGCCTTACTGTCCTATTATTTGTGATATTTGGGTAGCAGTAACATTAGCAATTCAACACAAGCTCTCACAAAAAAAAAAATGGTTGTGCTACAGATGGCCTGAACTCACATCACTGATACCACTGCGTTGGAGCACCAGCAGGGAAGGACGCGACATTTGCTATGTCGCATTAATGTTGACAAAACATCACTGCACTTATTCAACTATTCACGCTCAGAGATGTTCCTGCCATGTTTTTCTCGCAATGAAGCAGATTAACCGATACGTTTTTGTCATCCAAGCCACCATTGGCAGCACGTTCAGAAGCTGCGCCCATGCAAGCAGGTCACATGCAACTTTTATATATAGTTAATAAGTGCAACTGCTCAATCTTCTAGTATGAATCCGATGATTTTCCTGCTGTTCGAGTTGGGCTCTCGCGAAAGCGTCGTAAGTGATCCGACAATGTCAGCGCTGACAAAAAGAAGCCCAGGTGCGAAAACCAGAATTGCGCATTCCAGCAGTATGCCGAAAATGACAAAAGCCTCCGTCGAAATGCAGGACAGAAACGACGTATCTAATAGATTAAACATGGACGACATCTTCCTTAAAACAATGCTGCAAATGTTTTGATGCTGCTTGCGGCCCGGAATCCCCACTTTAATTGCGGCGATTTTTAGGGGCGATGCCTTTCTGGGGCTGAGCCTTGTTGTCATCCGCGTCCGTAACGTGTCATTAAGCCGAAACCGAAAGTGAACACCTGCGCATCGAAAAACGAACATTTTTGTACAAAACCAAATATATGTGTACATGAATCAAGTATATGACAGTTCAATACATGATCCCCTGCGCCGTCTTTTCTTCTGTCCTTTATGCTAATCGGTGACTACAATGTTGACATTATGGACCTTATATAGGACCTAGCTTGGCCCTCTCGTCATCGTTCACTTCATGGTGATGTGCGGATTTCTTTCTTTTCTTTCTTTCAGGAGAGTTGTGATTGTGTCGCATGTAGCAATAACTCAATAGATGAAACGTTATAGATTCTAGATAGCTATGGTTCATTTTCTATATAAGTGTGGCGTATCTTGCATGCGTAAAAACGTAATGTTCCTTCTTAATAACAGCGAATGCACCACTCACGAAAACACGTAGGCGTACATGCCTGCGTTATCGCTTGCTCTTTGGTGTCATAGATGGTCAGAACATAGCAGCTGTTCAGTTTTTGTTTTGTTGGTGCGGCATTATTAGCACTGAACATGAGAACACAAAAGAAAAGAAGGGGAATGGGTGCGGCTGCTGCTGAATTCGTCACAATCTTTAAGTGCGCATGTTACACTGACGCGAAGTAATGTAGTAACTTCAGAGAAGCTGGGCGACCGAACAAAGAAAAAAAAATAACGTGCAAGGGCGAACATCAACAACTGCTCTCTTACAGTATTGGTACTTGATATTGTGTTTTCTTTTGTTGGACTATACACGTGACGTTGCGCGAGGGAAGTGCATGTATAATTGAGTGGATACTGGCGTGCTCGCAGTTGGCGCAGACGAATTTGCCAGAGCCATACGCCAATCCCTGTCGCTCCACGTGGCCTCCCGGACTGTTCAACCAGATGGACCGCATGTATGGCGCCTACACTCGCGTGGTAAGCAGGTCATAACATAATGTCTGATGTACCCGTGCTTCGTAATTCATCCTTAATTTCGGAGCGTGCTCACACATCGGCTGCCATTCTCACCTATCAGCCTGCAACGACTGGCACACTGCTTGACGAACTGCTTGACTTCCTGTATCCGCCGCCAAGTGTTCCGTCATGTCATCGTGGGCATCGCATCTTTCCTCCATGCATAGTGTCCAGCAACAAGGCAAAAATAAATGCCCCCAAGCTCCTCAACTGACCTCTCTAGACCCCAGTGACAAATTGTGGCATCTTCATTCTCTCCAGGATGAAGCGGTACTCTTCGTTCTCCCTGTTTTTCTTCCTTTTATCCCGCATTCTCTTTTCCCTGCCCAGAGTAACGAAACGGACGCTTTGGTTCATTGGCATGCTTTTCCTCTTCCTCTTTGTTCTCTCTCCCTCAATCTCTCTTGCTGTACGCTGATTATCAAGAACAAAGAACTTTAATAAGGTTGATAACTGGGCTAGTTGGTAATCAATCATTTTGCCGTAAGGTTGAGTAGCGTAGTTTTTCACATAGACAAGAGAGATAAGGACACGACACTCGCTACGATTGTCATGTCCTTCGTATCCCCCTTTTTTTTGCTAAAAACTACGACACTTGTCCTTACGGCAAAATGAAATGAATAAAAAAGAACCTACCTTCTTTTTTATATAATAAATTACAAGCACTAAGACGGCAAGGACAATAAGGGCGCAATGTGAGGCTCGTGTTTGTACAAGGAAGGGATTGGACAGGAAATGACATTACTTTATGTCCTTGTATTTATCGTCACGACTCGGCCAAATCTTAAGTTCACAAACCAAATATAAATAAAGGCCGACACGGACGGTATATAATTTTCCATTCGATGCAACGTCCAGCGTGGAAGTGCGGCATCTGGAATGGTCACGTCTGTCGCATCTGACCACCGCATGGTGTGTCCGGTAAGCACCAAACCATGGCTGGACTCAGGAAGGAGTCGAGTCCCACCATAGCCAAATTGGGCAGATATTTTAGTCGCGTTATCGGACCGCCGGACAGGTACAGCCAATGATAGCTCGGGAGTCGTGCGACGTCACGCCACTATGAGTTTATTCGGCTTCTCCCTGTCACCGCTACGACCAACGTGGACAAGGCGACGACTACGAGTCAGTGGAGTCGAGCTTCGGAGCATTTGCCGATATAGCAGCTCACCGCGACGTGATGAACATCGAGTGCAATTTGCTTGCGGCGTGAAATCATACCTGCATGAATAAATCTTCAAGTGCGTCATTGCTTCAAGACAGCGCCCGTTTCTAAACCACTAGTGAGATCGCAAGCAGTGATGCAATGCCATTTCGCAGGTAAAACTGGCGTGTGATTACGAATGGCGTAGGCTAAGGCCGGTTTTCGCCTTGTGAGCTAGGCCTACCTATCCGAGTCATGAGGGACGTGGGCTGTTTCGATATGCTCTCGTTCGCCAATGAGTACTTTCATTGATTAGTTTCTTATATAGAGAAGCATGGTCGTGTGAAGTTTATTTTGTGCTTCAATACGAGCATACAAAGTCTTCCCGGCGTGCAAACCGGGGCGCCGTTTGTGGGTGGAGCCTGCGGCTGATTGCTCGTTCACCACAAGGGTGCTGAATCGTTGAACGCCGCGTGACGGATCGTCCAACACTGCACGTCGGATCGGACGAAAAATCGTGCCGTCTGTTTCGCTCTTAAGTATTTTAAGACTGGGGTTAGGTTTGAGTAACCACGAACGCGTCAACGTTTCTGGCAGGTGGCGGCACAATCAGACAACGCTAAAAACACAGTTCAATACTCGCTTCCACTGTTCATTTTACCACCAGGGCAATGAAGTTATGGCATTCGCATTCATGTAATGAATGCAAGTGCAGTTATGACATTTGCATGCTGTCGTCTGAGCGCTTGTAATTTAGAAATATGAATCAGCACTAATGAGCTCGCCTTTCCGTTTCTCTTTCCTTGTAACTCTCGCTGTCCATAGAAACGCGCGGTTTACCCTTCCCCTCACCCAAGGCATTCCAGCCCTCCCCCACCCAAACCGCGACGCATCATAGGTTCGCACACACCAAGGCAAAATCCTGCCTACAGCTACGTTTCCGCCATTAATTTTTGTGGCGCTAGTGCTTAGCGATGTTATGTTACTTGCCAAGTGACATCCGGTCTGTATCTGGTCAACTGGTAGCTGAGATTTCCTGCTGTGTCGCAAAACCTCAAGTAAACTCATATAAAACGTCGTTCAACGCTGCGAGAAGTATGGGATAGATATGACATCGGAACATAAGCTGAGTAGAAAAAAAAGTTTAGATAACCATTATGAATAATCAGCATTGATTGAATGCAGGTACGCTGGAAAATACAAAGTGCAATAGTCAGATCTGCCCTAATTTACCATAAGTAAACGACATCTGGCGTGTACGCTGTACCGAAGTGTAGGGCTACGTTTCACACGTGTACTAGTTAGCAATGCTTAGGAACGCAGTAACACAGTCCAGCCGACAGGCTCCCTCCGACAGGAGCTAGGATTCACACATTTTGCCCGAAAAATCAGATAGCGTTATTTTTCAATCACTTATAACCATATTTATGCGCGAGCAACTGTTCACGATACGAAAGTGAGCCGGCCATAGGTAATGAAAGAGGACCCCCTTTTTACCCACTGTATCCATAACGTCCTCTCTGCGCAGGACTGCCTGAACATATGTCTTCAGGTGAAAATTGTGGAGACCTGCAAATGTCTGGCTGCACAGCTTCCGCAGCTCTACACGCTGGCGCAACGATACGGGATCTGCGTAGACAAGAGTCGGTAACGGCAGCATCTCGCGTACTATCTCTGTCCCAGTGTTTCGCTGATGTATGCTGCAATTGTGAGAGAGTATATGAAAGGGCTGTGGTTTAATTGAGTGGGGTATGACACCGACGACGCTAACAATCACCGAAGTGAATTAGGCCTTATAGAGGACATCGGGTGCTTCTGTGTATCGTTGGTGACGAAGGCATACGCAAGATCATTACTTTTACTCGTATGGCCCTTAACATATCGTCTCCACTCCACAAAAACGTAGTTTTGGAAAACGGGGACACCTAAAAATTAGATACGGCTCTTAAGATTTAGTAACACTGGGCGGCCAACGTTTGCAGAAGGTGACTTCACAACCTGCACGCCCAAACAACAAGATTTTCCTTTTCTTTCCCTCTGTTCGTTTATATGGTTATGGCATTTGCGTCCATGTAACTAAGGTGTCTTCGGAGCTTTCATGAAAGAGAGCAAAAAAGAAAGTACTGTAAAGCTGAGGGGTTATTCGGCCTGTATTAGCCTGCTTACTCTGCAGGGAGATGAGAAAACGGGTAAAAAGAACCTAGGAGAATGCGAGCAGAAAGAAGTCTACGGAGAGATAAAATTCGAAAAAAATAACAAAAAATGAAGCTTTTGTAATGTGCTATCTGTTTTGTCCATTCTAATTCTGCTTATCGTATATTATATTGGTGAAATACAACCATCGTGAATGAGCAGCTTCATATATAATCCCAGCACTACAATGCCACAATACTAAACATAAACGGGCAGCTGCATACATGATTCCAGTACTACAACATTTAAACATGAATGGCAATTCACATAACTAATCCCATTACAACAATATTTAAATGCAAATGGGGATTCACATAATCAATTCTGATACAACAAAGCTTAAACATCAATGATGATTGGCATAACTACTCACGTTACACTAACAATTAAACATAAATGTGTACTCTCATAACTAATGCTGGTACTACAACATAATTCTTGATGCAACAACAACCTTCACACGTTTTAAAATGTTCGCACATGAGACACGAGACATCCACGTGATAGCTAAGAGTTCATCAGAGTGGTCCCGCAACAGCCTCTGGACTTTTTCCCTCACTCTGAACATAGCTGTCATGATCAGAGGAGAGAAACGTTGATGGGCACGAAAACACGGATAACATCTCTACCGGGAGTACCTGTTAATAATTACTCTTTTGAAGCGAGCTACACGAGTGGCGCGCGTTTTTAAAAGACGTGCATGTTCTAGCTGCAACGTAGTCACTGCTGTCGCTGCGTCATTCGACTGTTGTCCATGCGTGTTATGTTACAGTGCTGGAGTGTGCGGAACATGTCGCTGCAATCCAGACAAGCATTACGCTCGAGCTGGAGTGCAGTTGCTTCCACGCCTGCACGTAAGTGGTTCTCAGTCCTAATGACTTATAAAATTTCTGACGCCTATATGGAAACGTCCAATTCCATTAAAAAAAAGGAATGCGTGGATCATCGTAGGCTTCGAGGCTTCATAGCAGCTGGAAAGATGTATACTTACATTTTGTATCGAGCTTAGTTGATACCAACGAGCAGCCATTGGTTTATTTCTGAAAGGGTTGTTTGCCTTAATAGGAACTAGTTGGTATTACGACGAATGCCACTGCTCTAATGCAAACGAACCTGTATTTTATTGACAAGTTTTTACAGTAACAAGTGGTCTGCTGTCAAGGTGACAACTAAAATGATCAGTGTTTCGGTTATGAATAGCTGAATAAAAGCCTGCCTGCTCGTTTTTAGGTCATCCTAATCTCTCTTGAACATCTCTACCAGGCATTTCCTATTCATTCTCTTCGCTAACTGTTCCATTTATTTCGACAACCATCACGCCCACTTCTTTTGTGTATTTGTGTTCCCGAATCACTACATTTATAGCATGTTGAAACTTTGCCACGATAAATTAATGCTCGCGGCGTCGAGATGCTGAGCCACAGCATGCGTGTTCGATCACTGCTGTGACAGGGTGTATTTGAATAGGGAAGAAACAGTAAACTGTCCTTCTGAACGAGTTGGACTCAGTCATGAAAATTTATTCAATATGAAAAGTCAGGTAGCGTAATTCCGCAGAGCCCATAAGTTCAATATATTTCTCTCGCATATAACATATGCACTCTTTAATTGCGTTATTGCATCTAACTTGTTCATACCGAAGATAATAAGCAAACTGAAGCCAAATTGTTGATCCTTATGAATGCCTCCACTAGGCCAGTGAGCAGTGTTTACAGAATTATTTCTGCGAGAGGGGATCTCGCTTACCGTCAGCTGAATGTTAATATATACCCAGTGTTTCATAGTCATTCTTTTCTCTCTCGCAGATTCGTCCATAATCATTTCACGGGGCACAGAGATGACTTACTGATTACAGATTCATGTTCAAGCTGGTGTCATTCTTTTCAGGGATATAAGTTACAACCGTGACGTGACCATGACGGAGCTGAGAGAGGTAAGCGCACGTTCAAATGAAGCACTTCATATTTCACACTTAGCATTAGGGAAATATTTAAGCGGAGAGCCTGTTGAAAGCTCGATGAGACGTGTATGAACGAGACGCTGGGTCTTGTAAAAAGTCTGCGGGAACTGTCAGAGTGGACTTTTGCAGTAAGCAAAAGAGAAGAGAGAAAACAGTTCTGTTAGTTTCAAGGTGCTTAGTCAAGTACCAGGAGACAAAATAATTAGTCACATGGCAGGCAGGAAGTAATGGTCTAAGCCAAACATTTTAATGGTCTACAGCACGTCACGTTGGGCGCCTGATAATATGTGAAAGCCTGGTTGAGTGTCCTTTCAGAAAGCTTTGCTTACTTACATTGACCTCCTGCTGCTGTATCACGTACGAAGTAACATTTACACTGCCATTAGTAAACTATGCAATTGCAGCGTGTTGTCGGCGCCGAAAACAAACGACCGGGCGACAAGGTATTCACTGCCGGTGAGAGTAGAGCACGGACCTTGCGAGCTCTCCTGCTCTCCTCACAACCAGAAAGAACGGGCAGCATTTTATTTACCCTGTATTTACTCCCTCCAATTCTTAGATTACATAAGAGTACCGAGGAAGTTGCCTCGTTAAACACTTGTGCACTGTGCATGCCGCATGTCTTATGTATTACATGGAACTTCGCGCGTCGTTTCATGCGTCAGCTGTGCATGTTGCCGCTCAACTGTGTTTTACTTTTGCTGCAGGGTGTCGCGGGTCCGATCAACGAAAATGGGTATGTAGCATGATCAGTGTGATCACTTCGTTCATAACACAGTTCAGTCAAGTTCGCTGAACCCTGGGAATCGTTTCTGTAACAGCTACAATTGTTTTTGAAAATCCTGTGCTGCATACAGTCGGGGTCCTCCTCCGCAACACTTCTGCACGTTACTTCAAGATTGTGACAGGAAGAAGCTTATGAGGCAACATATGGTAAATAAAACGGTACTTCTTGCCCGTGATTAAGAATTGGAGTAGTGAAAACTTGCATTTCGTTCGCCGTCCGACAACGATGTTCATATTGCGTCGCAACCACAGAACGCAGTTATTGATACCTTTTTTTATAATATTAAAAGCAAGAGTTGGACATTGGGCTTTAAAGTTTTTAGCCCGTGCTACCAAATTGTTTACCGTTTCCAACAACTGAAATTTATACGTACGATCATAAAAATTACTTTGATAGCAATAATCTCTGGGTGACCACTCGTCAGATGCTGTATATAACGCCGGAGTAGGCCTAATTGGAAGTGCTCGGGATATCGGAGCAACGGATAACGTAAGCAATGTACACATTCAATGTTATGCTACCTAAATGTTCACTATGCTATTCCGCTAATTCTCTATGCTTTCGTACGAAATCGATAAAAAGTCTATTTTTCAAGTGTTTAAAAGGGTACTGAACAAAATTTCTGCCGCCAATATTTTCAGCCAAATCGATAGATTGGATCATGAAATCGATAAAGACAACCTTCATTGGAATGGAATGAAAAAAACTTTATTTCAGTCCTGCAGGACGCGCTTAGCGCGTAGCGGGCGTCTCCCACGTAGAGGGACCGACAAGGAGTATCTGGCGGCCGCTTCGTGGGCCTGCTGGACGGCCCATTGCTGGTCGGCGAGAAGTGAGCTCCTGAGGGACCTCTCCTATTTCAAAGCAGAAAATGCGGAAAAATATTGAATTTATTGCGTTTTTCACAAACTGTCGCGTCTAGCGGCAGCACCGTGAACTAGACGATGTGACGTTGTGTGACGTCAAAGTCACCGGAAACTGTCAAGCCAACAATGTCAGCCATCGCCCGCGTCTCTCCGCTCGCTCATCTTCCACTTCGGTTCTCAGAACCAGTATTAACAGCAACAGCAGTGAACAATGCTTCCGGCTGGGGCTAAGCGCCAGCGCTTTTGTGGAAGGGAAAGAGCAGTATATTAACAATAGGACGAAATTCATACAATACTTTCTTTTTGCTCACTGTCGTAGGCCACCGGCTCGCTTGGTCCTGTACTTCAACTCACTCACCTACGAGCATGTACGTTCAATGCCGAAGTACGACGTGAGTACCACACTGCAATGTTATACACAGTGTTTTCACGAGTGTAAAAAACATACTGACACAAACCGCACACTGGTGAGTTGCTGATAATGCTGAGAACTGGTGAAATGTGAATGTTAATAGAGTTAATTAAGCTGGTCTTCCATACATTGCGACATTTAGGCCCGCAAGAACGTTAACAGCGATTTCGTGGTGCGTAACTCACATGTGGTGCTTTTCCATCGATACCATGGCGTTGTATGTGTTGACAAGAGTTTATCTATTGGTTCTTGAATGGCGGTTCATAAAACCCATCCTCAAAAAAAATTTTTTTGGAGTCATGTTCCTCGTAAATACGAACCCTTCCATTTTTTTATGCTTAGCATCATAACACTTCTTCATTGCAATGGCGCTAAATTATGTTTCCACCTCTCTTCGAGATGTATGCAAACCTTTTGCTGCAATTTTCTATGACATATTTGCACAAGCAAACTCATCTTAGGCTTGCACATTTTCAGAGTGAACGTAGCTAAAGATTTGTTGGAATGCGGCTACGGACCGCACAACGTATTGACAAGCTTTCGAAGTCGAATTGGCGTGGTGCTTTGGCTCTTCTGTGCCACGGGGAGATGAAAGGCACCCATCTCACTGTGCATTTTGAAATAATTTATGAACCCAACCCCTTTTCCTTCACTACAAGGGTCCCCCACCACTTCCACCAGTCCACAAGAACGTTATACGTGACAAGAACTTTATTTAATAAACCCGAGGGAAATGATGAAGGGAGACCTAGGGCTCACCATTAAGTCAATGGTTCTACCCAGAACGGAACCTTCAAGCGGCGACTCTCGGCGATAGCCCGGGCCCTCTGGACTACCTGTAGTTGAAGAGGAATGCCTGAACTGTGAAGAACTTCACCCCACTTCATCTGATTGTGTATACCAGAGCCCACGTTGAATGTGCACAGCCAGAGCATATGATTCAGAGAGAAGGACCTGTACCCGCATTTAGAGCAGGACTGTGGAAAGTCAGGATCCATAGAGAGCCCCCGAAACATCCATGGCTGAGAACCACTGGTATATGCCATAATAGTATCACCCAGAATCCGCAGTAACACGTTCAGCGAATAGCCAGGCTAACATCTCCAGCATCTTATTAAAGCGATTCTGTGTGTTTGTGTCTTGCATAAGGTAAAAATGAATAGTTAATTAAGAATAAGCAAGTATTGAATGAGACAGCGTGTTTTGTCCAACGGTACATATTTTCTTTAATTTTCTCTTGCTCCGCCCGTTTGTTTGTTTTTGGTTTTTTATGTGTACTTGCTGTAGTTGTATTGATGGCCTCAAACTTTAGTGTCCACACTGACTATGTCCCTCAAGCTTCTCGTGAAAATTGCGTCCCGTGCAGGAAACCCACGTGCTGGGAAACCTTGGCGGCATCATAGGCATGTACCTGGGCCTGTCCTTCTTTGTTCTCTTTCAAGTCCTCGACATCCTTGTGGTTGGGACGCTGCGACTCAAGAAGATGCTACACTGAAATGCACTCGAGTGCCGGCTGATGGCGCTCGTACCAGCACTGGCACAACACAGGGACTTAGTACGATGCAGGGACTCAACAGTTCTAGTATATGTCACTGATTCTCGCCATGTTTGTTCTCTATTCCCCTCCTACACCACAGAGCCAAGCTTCTACACGGAAGAAATATGTCGATACAGTGTTACCTATCGAGCTTTCAACAATTCACGTCCCCGTAGTGGCATTTTAACGCTCAATCAGCACGCATTGTTGTTTCTTCAGTGACACTTTAATGATCCAGTACGCCACGCGTGCCACCCGTGCGAAGAGGAATTCATCACTGCGCGTGGGACAAATATACCGGGCATTTCTTGTGTCCTATGCTTGCCTGGGGTGATCGCATCTATAACTGAACTAAATGCCAGCGCGACATGGAAAACACAACCAGAATAGTTTGAATCAGCGTACTGTATTCAAAAAAGTTCTTATGCGAAAATTTCTCAGTTTTGCGCGTTTTATTAACGGTCACTCAATGGCGATCAAAACTTCGGGAAAAAATCTTTGCGAATTGGACGCCACAAAAATATGACACACGGAACAGCTTGCGAGATAATCCAACAATACTGCCAGCCTTCACCGTCAACACTTACCCTGCAATGTCCACCGGTGAGTGTATACCTGTAGAACCGAACATGATATCCTCTTGACTCTGTCGACAACCTTGGAGGGTCGACTTGTTCTGCCACCTGCTTGCCAGTCTCTCAACATCCAACAGTTCGGCAAGTCACGTTTTATAAATAAACTTACTTTTCTTCAATCGATCACTTGGTCTCGCGAATTCCTGTTTTAAACCTAGCGTGTCTCATCACAGAAACACCCTGACTGTTGAATTGAACTTAGCTTGCCCGTTAGCCTGATTAGCTTTTAGTGCCGCTGATTCTTTGGTAAAAAACTGCTGGATACGTGAAAAAAAGTAGCAAAATGGTAATAAAAACTGACGTCGTTGACTGTGTAATTTACGTCAGTGGTGTGTCTAACTTTCACAGCTCAAAGATAGAAACATCTGTGGCAAGTGAGAACAATAGGCAGACTGAAAAAATTGTAATCTAGTTATAAGTACAACATATAGTGAGAATAACTCTATGAAATGACCAGTACAGAACTAGGATATAGGGTGGGGCAAAATGAGACACGGAGCAAAACACGTCATTTTGACTTTGCCGACCTCCGTAGCTGATACCATAGGTGTTTTTTTTGTTTCTTTGTTTCGGTGATAAGTGTAGTAGCTGTCGACCTTTTTATGTGTAAAAGTTTATCATTGGTAACAGCATTCGCGTGAGGAAAATTAAGCGGCTGGTGTCGGTGTGTTCGTGACGCCTCAAAAAGAGGCGAAATTCTGCTCGGCCACATTTTTTAATCCGTGCATGAAACTACTCCGACATTAGTGCAACAACGTACGTTTTTATTTTGCTACTTTATACTACTAGGTGCATACCACCAAAAGTTTGGTTCATTTGGTGCTTGGTGTCAAAGCAGAGTTTTTTTCGGGCATGTGTGAGGGGCGAAACGCGAGCCGTCGTGGGATCGAGCTTTAATTAGAGCAGTTTCATACGAAAATTTTTAAAATAACAAGCGATAGAAAATTCGAAAGCCATCGCCTCACAAAGCCCGGCTGACGGAGTTGAAAGCCACAAATTGCCCATGAAGTTCTGCATCAAAACGGCAAAAAAAAAATCACAGCATATTCACGGGGTGAAGATGACAAGTGGGCGAAGCTCCGGAGAAAATCATCGGTAATGCCGTGAATATTCCGTGCGTAATTCGCCCAGTCGATCATCGTGTAAATACATCATGAGAAACACTGTATGTGTATACTTAAAAATCAACTTTTGTATCTTCTTAGAGACGATAGATTGCTTGCGATATCCCTTCATTACGGCCCGTGAAATGAAGGGTGAGCGGTTCTGTGAAGGTTGCAGTGGAAAATTCACAAATACTAGGTCTATGCATGTTCCTCGGAATTGTGGTAGGTTTCATATGGTAAAACAATATACATCTGAGTACATATCTAGAAGCCTTATGTTCCGTGCTTCCATCCGTCCATGCGTTCTTGCTTTCGTCCGTCCACGCTTCCATCCATCCGTCCACCAGTCTGCTAGTCTGTCTGTCTGTCCGTCCGCGCGTCCATCTAGTGAACACTCCAAGTACCGCCATCTCCCATCTCGCAACCCCTGTGGCACATACCCGCTCTAGAGTGGGTATGTGCCACCGGTGGCTACATACATACATACATACATACATACATACATACATACATACATACATACATACATACATACATACATACATACATACATACATACATACATACATACATACATACATACATACATACATACATACATACATACATACATACATACATATGGAGGAGCGACAGACTCACGCCATAAAGAGCTTCGCCCCTAAAAGGGGTGAAGAAGATGCGTCAGAACATATCTAGCCTCCAATCATTGAATAATCTAATGAAGTGCAAGCGCTAAATAAAAGAAACCATTAGCACAAAGAAAGCCTGGAACGCTTCATCTTATAGGAGTTTTGAGAAACTCAGCGCTGGGTTCCCATGATGTCCTTAGTGTTTTTTTTTTAACGCGAAGATTTCTTAGCGAACTTCGGCGACTTTGAGCGTATCTATCTATCTATCTATCTATCTATCTATCTATCTATCTATCTATCTATCTATCTATCTATCTATCTAGCTGCCTACGACTTGTAGCTCTCCTGGCCGTTTCGATTGTGGTATGAATACCAAACTTGGTATGAGATAACATGACTGTATGAAGAACATATCTGACTAGTCATAACATGAAAATCGTGATATGTATGTCATGAATGTCATGACTTACATATCATGGTCCTGCAGATTTAGCGGTGGTTTCGTTGGCATGTTGGAAAACTTGTATGGTATGACATAATTGCATGCCGAACGAAAGCTACTTACCCTAACATGAAAATCATGACATGCGTGTCATGTAACAACATCACTACGTGCCACGCTCATGATGCGCTCGTGGCCATTTCGGTAGCGTCACATATACCAAATTTGTTATTACGGTATGTGAATGGATGACGAAGGTATAATACTGGTGCAAACATGATAATCATGACATGCGTGTCATGTAACATGACTACATGCCACACTCATAATGTGCTCGTGGCCGCTTCGCTAGCTTCACATGCCAAATTCTGTATTACGTGACGTCAATGGATGACGAAGGTATGCGACTGGTGTAAACATGATAATCATGAGATGCGTGTCATGTGAAAACATGACTACATACCAAAGTCAAGGCGCCAATACATTTTGACGTGACGCGGTGTGCGTGCTCACCGGCGTTCATTTCTTCGTGATCCTTGTTGTTATCTACTAACAGCTTTCGCAGTAAATATTAAATAATGAGCGTTTGTTAGTCCGTCGCGCCAACGTCATTTACGTTGAAGCTACGTATTTCCAGCTCGACCTTGAACACGTGTGCGAAAACGATGGTCATGGGTCTTTTATCCTTATATATATATATATATATATATATATATATATATATATATATATATATATATATATATATATATATATATATATATATAGTCTAAAATAGGTTGTGCAATTCACGTGCTAAATACGTTCTGTAGACACGTGTCCTCTTTTGCCACAAAATATATCCAACCTTAGACCCAAAAGTAGCTTATGTATAAACTGTTGGCAAAACTAATTAAAGGAGCATCAGTAAATGTAAACAAACTTGTTTCACCAGAATTGACAAGCCTGAAGACACCTCATGAAAGCAAGAAATTGACATCCGCCAAAGGTAGCGTGAATCTACATGAATAAAAAAACGCCAGGCCTGTGTGGAAGGCGCAGCACAGTCACAACGAAAGCTGGAAGAGTGGTCTTTCAGAGCCTTTTTTAAACACCCATTGTGTAACTGCTGCAATCACCCTTGCTGCGTATTTAGTCTGAGATTATCGGACTCTAATAGCCGTAATCTCTGGATAGGTAACATCCGCACCCTGCGAGGCCGGGGACTTCCTACACGCCGGATGTATGAATAAATGTTATTTCTCTCCCTCTCCTTCTGCGTATCCACTACGGCATTAAGAATAATCATTTCTGGATAGTATACCAGCATTCACTACGCTAATTTCGGCATTCATCTGAAAAGCGTTGTATCCGCTAAACGCTTGCATGCAATTTTGTGCCAATTGTTCATGTAGTGGCTGACGACGATGGGGAATCATGCCTGAAGTGAGAATGCGCCAAAGTTAATATGTGATCAAAACAAGCTCTTGTAATGGGTTGGACGATTGGGCGACACACTCACTACGCCATTCGCTATGTGTGACGTCTCGTTGTTCTTTTGCTGTTCTAAAGCGCTTTATTACTCTTAATAACGCGATTCTTATGCCGAAATCAAGCCAACCAAAGGCAAGTTTGCTCAACATACCGAAGCAACGGCGTAGCTCAGTGGTAGAATACTGGGCTGGCACTCAGTGGGCTCGGGTTGGAGTCCCACTGTGTCCTTAATGCTAGGTTTGTTTTCTTTTTTGCGAAAGTGGTTACGGACACCGGCGGCAGCGGCGGCGGAGGACAACCACGAAGCTGCGCGTGACCCAAGTTTTGATCTTATAACAGCTTTCGCCGTAAAATACATTGGTCTAAAATGTGACGGGCAGGCTGGCTATTTTTCGAAAATGCCGCAACAGTATGCTGATTCGAATAGTTGTATAAAGTAGCAGGACTACTTAAGTACGCAACCTAACGGCTTCACATGCTTTAAATTCCTTAACAGCACAGTCGCCTTTGTATGCCGGAGGCATTCAATGCGCACTGTTATTCTTACGCGAGCACCAGTGCTGTTGCGCCGTCAGAAATTATCTTCTCGTATGCTCTTCTGATGATACATAAAATCCGACAATCATGCAGCATCAGAACACTAGGAGTGCACCCTTTGCACAATAGTTCT